GCCACAGATATACATCAAAAAGATCATCTACTATGATCAATTTAGCTTTATTCCAGAGATGCAGGGATGGTTCAATATGCCTAAGTCAATCAACGCCATAAATCATATAAATGGACTCAAAGATAAGAATCACATGGTCATCCCAATAGATGCTGAGAAGGCCTTTGACAAAATCCAGCATGCATTTATGTTCAAAGTCCTAGAGGGAATTGGACTGGAGGGAACATACCTCAACATAATGAAAGCCATATATAACACACCCACAGCCAATATCATTCAAAATGGAAAAAAGCTGGAAGCATTCCCATTGAAATCAGGAACCAGACAAGGCTGTCCACTATCTCCACTTCTCTTTAACATAGTGTTTGAAACTCTTACAAGAACAATAAGAGCAGGAAATTAAAGGAGTAATAATTGGAAAAGAGATCAAATTATCCCTTTTTGCAGATGATATGATATGATATCTAAGAGATGCCAAAAATTCCACCAGAAAACTCCTAGACACTATTAACACACTCAGTAAAGTGGCAGGTTACAAAATTTAAAAAAGTCTGTAGCCTTTCTATATACCAATAACAAGCAATCAGAGAAAGAGCACATGGAAACACTCCCCTTCACAATAGCTGCAAAAAAAAATGAAATATCTTGGAATAAACCTGACCAAAGACCTCTACAATGAAAAATTTAAATTTTTAAAGAAGGAGATTGAGGAAGACATCAGAAGATGGAAGGACCTCCCATGCTCATGCATTGGAAGAATTAATATTGTGAAAATGACCATCCTACCAAAAGCCATTTATAGATTCAATGCCATGCGAATCAAAATCCCCATGACATTTTTCACAGAATTAGAAAAAACATCCCAAGAGTCATATGGAAGCACAAAAGACCTCAGATAGCCAAAGCAACCCTGAGCATTAAGAGCAATGCCAGGGGGATTACTATACCAGATTTTAAGCTGTATTACAGAGCTATAGTCATAAAAACACAGTACTGGGACAAAAATAGACCCATAGATCAATCGAACAAAATTGAAGACCCAAATATGAGTAATTGCAATTTCAGCCACCTGATATTTGAAAAAGGGGCCAAGAACATTCACTGGAGGAAAGACAGCATGTTCAGCAAATGGTGCTGGCAAAACTGGATCTCTACTTGTAGAAGAATGAAACTAAAGCCCTATCTTTCACCTTGCACAAAAGTCAATTCCAAATGGATCAAAGACCTCAATGAACCTGAAACTCTGAAACTATTAGAAGAAAACATCGGCAAAACCTACAATATATAGGTGTAAGAAAGGAATTTCTAAACCAGACATCAACTGCTCAGGAAATAAGTTCAAGAATCAACAAATGGGACCTCATTAAACTAAAAGCTTCTGTACATCAAACGAAGTAACCAAGGAAGTGAAGAGAAAACCCACAGAATGGGAGAAAATCTTCACCAGTGACACATCTGACAGAGGTTTAACATCCAGAATATATAACGAACTCAAAAAACAGAGAATCAAGACAGGAATTAACCCAATAAAAAATGGGCTAAGGCTGGGCGTGGTAGCATATGCCTTTAATCCCAGCACTCAGGAGGCAGAGACAGGCGGATCTCTGTGAGTTCAAGGCCAGCCTGGTCTACATAGTGAGTTCCAGGACAGCTGGGGCTACAGGGAGAACCTGTCTCAAAAAGACCAAAAAAAAAAAGGGGGGGGTGGCTAAGGAGCTGAACAGAGAATTCTCAAAAGAAGAAGTAAAGATGGCTAAGAAGCATCTTAAAAGATGTTCAACATCACTAGTAATTAGGGAAATGCAAATTAAAACCACTTTAAGATTTCATCTTACCCCAGTCAGACTGGCTAGTGTGTTCTTTAAATTCACTGAATTCTTTTATCATTTTTATAATTGCTTTTTGAGTTCCATGTCCTTCATTATCTCTAGGGAGTTCTCATTGTACTTCTCTAGAGGATTATTGGTATTTAGTGAGGATATGTTATTTTGATTTTTCATGTTATTATTTTTTCTCTGTGATTTTGACATGTGAATTTCTTTTGTAGTTTCTGATTCTTGTGTGAGACTCAAGCCTTAAACTTTAGGTCTGTTTCTTTTTGTAAATTTTATGTGCCTTTCTGGTTTACTTTTTGGGCATTAAAAACTGGTTCATCTAAGTGTCTGGTTCTCTCTTTTGATTTTATATTGGAGTAGCCAAATTGCTTTTGTCTTCAGGACTTCCCACAGAGGCCCAAGTCAGATGATGATCAGATGCTCTCAGGCTTTCTTCTAAGGCCTGGATCCCTCCAGGAACGATATTGTTCATTCAAGAATTTTTGAGTTGGACTGTCCTGGGAGCAGGGCCCAAGAAAGATGCTGTGCCACCCAGGGATGCAAAGGGAGGTGGAGGTGGGAAGAGGCCCCAAGGGATCCCCGGGACTGCAGAGAGGAACTGGGTTGGTCTGGATGCAAAGGATCTGGAAGCAGTGGTGGCTCCAAGAAGAGAGGTCAGCCCCGGTGTCTGGGGTGCCAAGACAATAAATGGGCCAGTACCCAGGAAAGAAGGAGAGATGGGGTGAGGGAGCTGGGAGGGTAAATGAGGCTGGGAGAGTCAAGGCACGGTCTTCACCAATGGAACCATGTTAATCTAACAACCTCCTGACAAATTATACATACCAGATCAAGAAATATATGTCTAGGCAAGTTTTATCTGAGAACAATTGGTCTTTCCCCAAGATTTATCTACATGGCACAGAGTAATTAAAAGCACCAGACTGGTGGAACCAAGCTTCTTAGATGTTTAACAAACATACTTTGAGGCCTATACTAATTTGGTCAGGGGGACATAAAGGACAGTTTTTGCTCCTTGCCCTCCTAAGTCGACTAGTTCCAGGGTACTATGAGCATTTCTCAAAATGTCCTAGAATTGTGGTGGGTCACCTGTCCTCTTGATCAAGGAGGCCAAGGAGACCCCACAAGAAAAGAGACCCCAAAAGGAAAGTATAACCAAAGATTAAAGGGGCCAATATAATTTTTTAAAGAGTCCATATGTATAGCTAAAGGCTACATAACAAGCAACAATGCCAGATAGGAGATACCTTCTTTTGAGTTGTTGGCCAGGGTGGCTCAAGGGACTCCCAGATTAACCCAGCATAGAACTTGGAAAATGAACAGCAGACCCCAATCTTATCTAAAGGAATATTGACAACCAATTGCTGCTCAATGAGGAACAGCTGATCTTCCTAAAACAAAGACCTCTAGATAGGCTGACTAGATTCACCAGATGGACAAGTAGTGGGGAATGGTTGGGGGTGATGACATCACAGTGGACAGTAGCAGGGATAACAGAATATAAGGGCTCTAGTGAGGGGAGGGAGGCTATGGGAGGGTGCCATATGAAAAATGGGGGTACAGTTGAATAAGATGGTTTGAGATGGTCTGTGTGATATACACACAAAAAAAAATCAACAGATTTTAAAAATGAATTATATTTGAGGAGGAAGCATAA